AAGCGACTCGGCGGCAGGGATGGATGGGTCTGGCTCCCAAGTTAAGCCGTAGACCGAATCAACCATCAGTTCGGTCTGATGTAGAATACATTTCCCTCGAGGCCTCTCTAATGCCGCTCGGCATCAGGAAAACCTCCTTCACGAAATCAAGGTAATTTCAGAGAATTCCTCTGAATTCCGCTGAAATAAAAGTAAACGAGATTATTCAACTCCAGTCGAAATTCCTTTGAATTCCTTTGAAATCCTTTGAATTTGCTGATTGATTATCTTGAATTATCTTGAATTCAAACAATGTGAAGACACACGAACATCAAATATATTAGAATTAAACGAGAATATCACAACCGAAAGACGGCAAAAAGATCAGCAGACTCGAAAAAGCACCAGTATGTACAAATGACTCGGAAGGTTGATTAATCTTCACCCATTGCATCAAGATCAAGGTAATCACAAGCGGCGTCCAATGAACCAGCGGGCTCTGAGCTTTCTACTGCACTAATGTTGAATTAGTTAGAGTACACGACGATAACAAATAGCGCGTGAGCAAGACATACCTGACTGCCTTGTAGAGACGCGCCATCAGTACATGGTACTTCTTTCGACTACCGTTAAAGATGCGTGTGAGAGTCGCTTGGTGAGCGTTGTAAACACTGATGTGGAAGGAGGAATTGAATGATTTGACTTGTGCGCCTGAGGGTGGGTTCCCGCTGCTCCAATCCTTCAATATCGAGTAAATCTGCAGAGAACATTATGTAGTGAGCAAACAGAGTAAACATTATCAAGAGCGGCACCTACAAGCGTTGCAATCAAACACACCATAGCAACAGGTAGCTCGGGCTCGTTGTTTCCATCCAAGACCGAGACAAAATCGTCACAGGACTGGACACCAATTGAGTTCTCACCATCGAAAAAAGATAAACGGATGGAGTCAACCATAGACTCGTCACAAAACGGTTGGTCCCCAAGGACCTTACCCTGGGTGGTGGATAAGAATAAGATAAATGAAGAGATAGATAACGAAAAAATGAACAGACCTTGGCGTCGGTTGGGAAAATATACTTGTGACCCTTGATGAGGTCGTCTACCTCGTCACCGCAGCCTTTCTTGAGTCCAAAACGAGAGACCACAATTTGATGCGCGAGTTTCTTGAGATTAGTACGGAAGGAACTAAGCCGTCCCTCCGGCTTGTGAGGATGTCAGTGATGTCCAGTAACATACAAGAAGTGTACATACCACTCCAGCGAGAGCCACCGCATAATCAAAGTCATGCTTGATCCTCTTTGCTATCGCATATTCCTTATGCTTCCCGGCAGCATTATAAACTGCATCGAGAGCCATCTTGCGCTTCTGAGTGATGTTGGGAAATGCGTTGTCGAAGATAGAGGCTTTCTTGAGTTCAAAGACGGCAGTCTTCAACACCTGCTGAATCCGAGTATTCTGAGCCTTGAGGGTTGATCGAGCTATCGGCTGAGTAGACTAGAATCTGTGAATATAGGTCCATGTAAAGGAGTGTCAGACAACTCCTTATCGGCGGAGGCTGGCAGTGCCTCGTCTGTTAGCTGCCGCGACTCTGCGAATTTGGGCCTCTAGAAAACAGTATATTCATTAGTAAGACAGAGTGATGGGAGCGTAGTAGAGTAGAACACATCACCTCAATTTCTTGACGTGCTTCTGCTACTTTGCTCCTTTTCTTCTTCTTCTTCTTGCTTGGCTTGGTTTCGAGTTGGTGAGTGATGAAGGCTCGCGGTAATCATAACTTGCCTTGGAACGTTGACTGTCACTGCGGTCACTGGCAGACTCCGTGTCTTTTGTCAGCAAACTGCAACTCTGACTCAGACTCGTCAGAAACCCCGCTAGATGTCATCCGAACACTATTCGACAATGTTTTGCTGGTTTGCGATAGTGCGCTGGCAGATCTAGCTGCACGAGGAGGCATCATGTAGGGAATCTTAAATAAAAGGTGCGTCATTTTTTTCATCATTCTCAACTTTGGGTAGCTAAGTGACGACTCACCTCTTTAATCAGTTCCTTCTGGGAGGGTACTAAGTCCTCATCATCGTCTTCTGGAACCTCCGCATTATCGTCCGATTTGTCGGTGTCATGATCACTCTCTCCGTATTCACTGACAGAGTCGTTATCTTCGATTGACACTGCGACTGACTTTGGCAGCTTGCTGTTTTTCTTATCGCGGCCTTGACTTTGACCATGACCGTTGACTTGATCCGCTGTTGAGTATCTCTCATACTGATCTGTTAAGCAACTACTAACCATTGTCTAACTTTTCTGCAGGTGTCTTTCGCGCTAACTTGGCGGCTGGTACTGATTGTAGCGCAGTTACTGTGGGTGCGCGCTTACGAGTATTGGTCGTTGTCTCATTCTTTCGCGCTAACTTGGCGGCTGGTACTGATTGTAGCGCAGTTACTGTGGGTGCGCGCTTACGAGTATTGGTCGTTGTCTCATTCCAGACTGAAACAAGGTGTGTCAATGACTGCTTTCTCCAATTGCCTGTACTAACTTTTTCGCTCTAAGGCCTTTACTTTGGATGACCGCTGCAGTGGTTCTTGGTGATGACTGTGAGTCCATCGCATTTTTCTTGGCCTATGGATGTACTCACTCTCTTCTGTATTGCCGGTTTTTTTGCCAGTGGAATCTTGACTTGCCACCTGGGCCTTTCTTTGGGCGTTCCGCTTGTGGGCGGCTATATCTGACGGCGTTGAAGACAGATGGGGACTCGGAGGCATACTACTAGTAGTGTTTGCTTCAGCTGAAGTTGGGAAGGGAAAGGTTGAGACGGTTATGAAAACTTATTGGTGGCCACTCTCATTTTCAGGTCTGTTTTTTTACTGTGCTGTGCCAGCGCTAGGGTCGTTGGTTTTTTTTCATCTAACGTGTGGTTACAGAAATGGCTAAAACAAGCAGAGCGTCTACTAGCAGAATTTCAAGCTGCAACCGTCAACTTGAATGGTGCTCCCTCTCCTCCCCTCTCAGGTTCAGCTCGCCGCATCATCAAAGAAGCTGAGGCACGTGTAGCCCATGCTGATGGACAGAGAGTCCAGGCAGAAGCATGTACTGCCAGGCAACAAATCCAACTCGGTTCACAGTGTGCCACCATCATTTTAGTACGTTTGTTTGTTGCCGTGCTGTCACCGTAATCTAACCTGTTCTGAAATATCAAGTAAATTCGTGTTGTGTGGCCGCGTCTTCGTACCCTTCCATGCTAAGGAAGGGAGCCTGTACCTTTTTGAAACAACCGCGTCTTCGTACCCTTCCATGCTAAGGAAGGGAGCCTATACCTTTTTGAAACAACCGCGTCTTTGGCCGCGTCTTCGTACCCTTCCATGCTAAGGAAGGGAGCCTGTACCTTTTTGAAACCTGTACTGCCAGGCAACAAATCAAACTCGGTTCACAGTGTGTGAATCTTCACACTGGATAGCACGCTGTAAGGTTTGCACCGTCTCTCTACTACCCATCACTACCTACCTACCTACCACCACTACCTACCGCCTGTTTTGTTGCCAACAAAATGATCACTTGCCCAGGTTGCACCAAAAACTTCGAGCACGCTGGATACTCCCATCACCTAGCCAAGACCACGAATCCATCATGCCTGAAGCTTTGGCTCGTTACGTCGTCGGGAGAAATCAACCTGGTTTGTCTGCAGCACAACTCGAACGCGAGGCCGCTCACATCATTATTCCCTTTGATACTGTGGCTACGTTCCACAGGATCAAATTCAACTCAATCAATGCTCGGGGGATCCAGGACTCGAGTGTCACCGTGGATTCTGTCCATTGTCAACCATCACAAGAGGACAAGCGAGGGCATATGATCCCCGCGCGTTTTGACACAGTTTTGGTCAACGAAGGGGACGGCGGGACAACAGGCGTGGATGGTGCGTTTTGTATGGTGCATTGAACATGTTAGTCACTAATCTCACTCGATCACTGAAGGTTACCGTGTTGCGCAAGTCCGTGTCGTCTTTACGCTAACAAATCAAGCTTCGAATGTGTTATTCCGCGCTGGACCTGCACAACCACCCACCCACCTTGCCTATGTGGAATGGTTCACTCCATTCCAGCAACCGGAATCACACCATGGGTTGTACAAAGTTGCCCGCTTGATTCGTCATGGAGAACGTCTGGCAAGCATCATTGAGATATCAGATATCTGTAGGAGCATTCATCTTATACCTAATTTCGGCGTAGCGGCACCTCGTGAGTGGACGAGTAGCACTGTTCTGGAGTGCTGTTCCACCTTCTTTGTAAACCCCTTCAGTGACCGACATGCTTATTTAACACTTGTCTGAGCATTACAATGAAATTTGTTGAAATACCTTTGAATACAAATAATTTACCGAATTCTCAGTATTTTCATGCGAGTTTGTGAAATTACCTTGATTTTGTGAAGGAGGTTTTCCCTGATGTCGAGAACAAACTTAACCAACGTACATATGAAGAACATATTGTGATATTCTCACCCAGACACATATCACTCGATCCTCGTATGCATCTGCGTCTTGACCAATAGTACTGCCACTAGAAGATGCGAGAAAGCGGCAATGACCACAAGAAGCCAAATTTCGTGAAAATCTCAGCTATCGCGTGTGTATGTGAGGGATAACGATGATCCTCATCATTGACGAGGTAGCAAATAAAATGATATTCAATGGACGTGGTCACTTTCGCACGATCGTGGAACTGGGGTTCTTCGCCAACGCTCCGCTCCCATTAAATATTGTCCCATGCAAGATAGTATGATGAACGATGAGTCGAGTCCGAAATCATGCAACACCAACTTTCTTTTACATACATTATCACTCGTCCTGCACGTTGTCTTTTCGTTCTCCATCTCAACAACATCTTTGATTCTCCTTGCTCAATCATTTCCTCTCAGCCCTCCAATCGAAGATGGGCCTCTTTTCATTTGAGAGTCAGCCCTTTGAGATCCATGTCTCTGTAAATAGACAGTGCCGTCCCTTGGTCGATCTGTGATCAATACACTTCAACATATTCGATAATTTTTTTTTTGAAAGTAGAATCGAACTGCATCGAATAGTAAGTGGTGCTCATAGTAGATATATCTCAAAGCCTCGCTCTGCCCTAAGCCCTTGCAGGAAACCCTTCTTGGCTCCAGGTCCTCGTGCCCTGGCTCATATACTCCTCAGTCAATCTCGCGCTCCTAATGAAGAGCGATCCATCCAGCGCTTCTGCACCCTCCAATTCCGTGCCTCCAAAGGAGCCCTTGGGCCGTGCGCCATAGAGTGAAGAGAAATGCGCAAGTGCGCGCTGAATCTTCAACATGTGATTGTCTGGGTGCGTTATCGCAGATTGAACGATATGGAGGAATGGGTTGGCGACCTTGATCTTTGACGAAAGATCCGAAGTTGCACTGAGGCAGCCTTGAATATCCAGTCTGGGGAAGCCGCGTGTGATCCACCACCCAAGAGTCGACGCAAAGTATCCACGAAGCAAAAGAACTTGCGAATCTTGTGGCAGGTAAGGCAACAGGGATGGAAGGAAGAGACTTGAGGTGACGAGATGCATGCTGGAACGTCCCAAAAATTAGTATATTTATTGCAGATCATCAGATTGAAGCCACTTACAAGAAAAAGTCTGCTGTTAAGCCTCTGTCTTTGCTCCATCCGCCGATACTGTAGAGGATAGTGCTTGTCCAAATACATTCTTCTAACTTACGTTCGATTTCGCCTGGCTGTGACGGGTCGATCGTCCATTGTTCGGCGTAGCGCCATATAGTATCACCATGCTCGGACATCATGCCGTCAAAATCTTTGAAATGTTTCTTGATTTCCTTCGGTGCGAATTTCGAATCTTGCATGATCTTTGCGAGAATGGAGAACGCATGATTTTTTTGTGGTCGTTCGAGCTGAAAGGGGGTAATAGATCTCTCTGTGTTGAGGACAAGCGAGGCAAGGTGAGTTGTTGCCCTCTCCACTGCAGTCGTGCCGCTAGCCTCGGAAAGATACGACGGCAAGAACTCGTGCTCATGCACGCTGGCCAATGCAAGACCTTGAGATGTCTATCAGGGACCTGTTCACAAGGATGTGTCACATCGCTCACCTTCGACAACCATGCCCGAGATGCCAAATTCAGCACCATATCCTACATGGATGAAGGCATGAAACAAAGCTCCAAGGAAGCGGGCCAACATTACTGGCTGGGTGGATGCATCTCGTCCCTCTATAAAGTTGTATTTCTTAGAGAAGATGTATTCCTCTAAGGTGGTGCTAAGGCCCTTTTCCTTGACAACCTTGCTGAAGAAGGTTCGATATGCGGCGTAAAAGCTGACAAGAAATTGTTTGAGCGGGGAATTGCAAGCGTTAAATCTAAACTCACTTGTCGTCACCTAGATGTTCGATGAAATTCTCTTCGGTGATAGCCTCAGGAGGCTCGATGGCTGGGCGCTGGTTGGTGCTGTCCTGTTTGTAGAATTGTTCGATCAGAGATCCACTCGCGCCCGTGGCATAAAGTGCCAGCGCACGATGAGTGATATGGCTTCATCGACACTCAAGTCAGCAACATGAGATACGGATTAATTAAGACGCACTTATGAAACCGTTGGTAGTTGGAGAAAATGTGGTACTTCGTATGGTTATCCTTCAAGACATATGTCAAAGCTGCGACTGCTTCTGGGGAAGTACCAGGATACCGCGGAGGCGAAAGTACGTTCGGTGGGGAAGATGGGGAGGGGAACAGGGCATCGAGTTCACTGCCAGGATAAGTTTGTTGAGCTGCAGCCATCTTCGAGCAGGGCTACAAGAGTGCAGAAAAGCTATGGTGATGCATCCTTGTGAACTTGAACATCTTTTATATCCTTGCCCTATAGTTACAGGGCGCTGAACGCTGAGCTGTGATACATGCTTACCAATGTATGCATTAACCTAAGTGCCCCGGTACTGTGTGTCTGACAAGCATCCACAGAGTACTTACGTCTGACCTTGCTCCACGGCACTGCGGTGATCCGATCGTATCGGAAAGTGACAAAACTGTTCCTTGGAGCTGAAGCCGAGCAGACGCGTCTCTTCCAAAAGTATGTAGTAGCCTCGGGCTGTCCATTGTGAGCATCCGGGACCATGCACTGGCGTTGCACTAGGTGGAATTGATCTGGTCCTGCTGCGCCTGCCGTGGTCGTGACGCGCCTGTAATGCGGCATGTTCATACAGCATCATATGTCATTCCAAACTAGACTCGTAACCAGTCTTTACTACGTCTGAGATCTGAGATGTCAAGTGTTTGACGTAGTAAGACTGGTCGGAGAAATTTGGCAAGCGAAGCACGGTGTTTAAATTTTAGCAGGTGCCGGTCGTGCCGGTGGTACTAGCACTCATAATCATGTAGTAGTAGAGTAGTGCGTTCACGAGCCTAATTCCAAACACTTTGATTCAATCCTCGTTAATGATCAACGTATGACACATCGGGGTTATCGATATTTAGGATAGGTTTATATGTTGTGGAAGAAAGTATTTAAAATTTAAATTGACATAAAGATGGGTACAAAACTTCAAATTTGGGCAGCGTTTTGTGCGAAATCGAAAATATGAAGCATCCGCGACTGTTTTCACACCAATCACACGTTAATGAAAATATGAAACATAAACAGATTTTCAGCGTCTGCGTGAATATGAAGCTTAATTATCACGTAAAACGTTGGACAAAACTTGAAGTTTAGTCCGTCACTACATGTTTATCAATGTATCAAGTTTTGTCTAACAATTAGGCGCCCCTGAAAATTTGAAGTTTACACTGGTGACAAAATGTAATGACTAAACTTCAAGTTTGGTCCACAGACAAAATGAATCACCTGATTATCGCCCGCCCATCGTCCATCGCCCACCAATTGCCCGCCCATCGCCTGCCCATCGCCCATCGCCCATCACCCACCAATCGCCTGCCCATCGCCTGCCCATCGCCCATCCACCCTTGGCACCACTTGGTAAAGGTACCGAGGGCCTTTCAGGCTAGGTTCCGTTGTAGGTCGTTACCTGCCTGAAAGCCTACCTCCACAGCGCGGACTGTGGTGCATTTTGTAGAGCCTCCAGCGAGGAGGAGCCAGGAGGAGGTTGCATTTTGTAGAGCCTCCAGCGAGGAGGAGCCAGGAGGAGGTTACATTATGGAGGGAGGCTCGAGAGGCTCAGGCTCACGGAGATTAGTGATAAGTATATGTAACATACCATTGTAATTCCAAGTACATGACATCAATGAGGAGCTAACATGTTTCCCCGCTCCTCGCGAGCCGTTTTTATTTCTGCGAAGCTCAAATATCGATGACGTGGCAAGAAGAAGCACACCTCTTTCGAGGAGCTAACATGTTTTCCCGCTCCTCACGAGGCGTTTGTATTTGACCTTTTGTGAAATTCATAACATAGAACACACAACAAGAACTTTGTATTCAATTCAATACTACGAATACGCGAATACAAGTAGGAGGGCAAGAAGCAAGAACATGGTTCCAAGAAACAGGGAAGACAAACCAAGGTAATGCTCTAATTGCCTTCAGACTGAGGGGGAGACGACGAGTACTGCATAAGACCAGGTAGCGGGCTTGTTGAATTAGCGCGAATCGTCCGTCCATCCTCAGGATATGTGGCATAACGGGGCCAGTTTTGACGAAGATCAAGTCCGTCATGACGCGGGGCTGGACCTTGATAATGATCATAGATCACCCGGCCATCACGGTATCCTGGGTATTCCTGGCGAGGAGCAGGTACACGACCATCGTGCACGTCCCTTCCTCCACGGTATGCTCCAGTCCCTTGCTCATAGGAATCTGAGTGCGTAGGATAGTAGGGGTGAGGAGGAGGGGGTGGAGGATATGTGTACATGGTGTTGTGAGCATCCATGGAATGTTGAGGCTGACGAGCTGCATTGACACCAGGGGCATAATTCACACCGCTAGGCAGATGCCGTTGAGTCATGGGCTGGTACTCCGTAGAACCACGAGATGGTGGCAGAGGAAGACTTCTATCGCTAATGTTTTGCTGCCCATTAGGTTGGGCAGTTGTGTTGTGCTGATCATGGGGTGCTGGAAGAAGTGAGCGCGGTTGCTCTCGACTCTGAGGGGATGGGGATGAAGGTGTGGGTGAAGGCACCTCCAAATGGTCGCTGGCCTGCGTGGGCTGCGTGAACGTGTCCTCCATCTTCCCCCTCAAAGGTAAATCCCATCTAGAGGTTCTGGGGCCTCTGGGTCCTCGTTGCTGTGCGACCTGGGCTGTATCATGGCTTCCTCGCGGGGCATCTGGAGGTCCTTGCGAGGCATCTTGCAGCACCTCCTGGGAGGTGTCGAGACTTCCTTGTCGTGCATCCTGGGTGGTGTTGGAACCTCCTGGTGCGTGCGGTTGACGCTTGCCTTCTGAGTATAGCGCAGCTTGGCATGCACTTTCAGATGATCCTGGAACGACTTGTTTGGGTTTTGGAAGTTCTACAAAATCATAAGCGCTGTTCCTGGTAGTGAAACCAATGTAGTACTTACCGCGTTGAGTGCGTGGTTGCAATGAGTCCTGTGGGCCATCACGAAGACGTGAAGCTTTATGTCCTGGAAGGAGGGTTATTAGATCTCATATAGTACAAGGGACTTTGATCACCATCCTGTTCAGTGTCTGATTCAGTTGCGGCAGAGACATAGCGCACTCTCTTTGCGATCTTCTGCTCCTTGCCAGTATCCTGGTCAACCGCTTTGCCCTTGCCCTTGACAGCTTTTCTGCCCTCGCGAGGCGGTTCAACAGCTTGAACGTCGCTTGATGGAGCACGTCGCTTCTGCGAGCGATGGCCTCTGGTTCCCTTCACCTTGCGTTTACGAGAGGTGGCGACTTCATCTTCATACTGTGAGTCTTCACTCTCAAGGGCGTCTTTGTCCTCCTTGAACTCATCCTCGGCATCCGACTCCGAGCTGACCTGTACATCGCTGGACAAGTCGACGGGAATGACCTTGCGTGCGGGTGTCTTTCCCTTTGAAGCCTTCAATGGACGTGGAGGAGGATGATTCCGGATCTCGACAATTGGGACAAGCATCTTGTTAGGGATTGATTGGGATTGTGGAGGCGTGTCGTCTACGAGAATGGGGGATGCACGATGGCCTTCCTTGCGTGTTGAGGGCTTCGGCTGCTTGACCTTTGTGCTTGCTGCACTTGGTCCACGACGAGCGATTCCCTGACGGTCGATGGTGCCATCAACAAGCATGCGACGACCATGCGAATGTAAGGAATCTTCAGGAGGGGCCTCGCCGAATATAATGGGGGATTTTTGGTCTATAAAATGATTAGCTAGCCATATTGGAAGTGAATTGATTTGCACATACCCAAGTCTCCATTTTTTTGTCGTTCGATGGTCAATCTGCCTGATCGCAAGGCATCCGCAAGTATGACACGCTCACGTTTATCAAGGTCGCTGATGCCTTTGGGTCGTGCAACCGTTACACGTGGCTCTCCCGGCATCAACATGTCTTCAGGATACCCTTTCATCACAAACCGGTGACGCGCCAGCTCGGCAGGCAATAGTTTCCATGGGAAAGTTCCTGACCGTGCTGTTAACTTCCCGCCGAGGTTACTGAACATTGAGGTTATGCCGACTTTGATGCATTGTATGTGGTCGGCCAGTGTCTTCCAATTGACATTGTTGGGAACCTCCTGTACCTCGTCATCATCTTCTTTTACCCCTGGGGTGCGCGTGCGCCGCCCAGGCAATGATATATCCTTTTTGGAAGGTTGAAGTCCGCCATCACCGTAAACGTCCTCAACAACGGCAAGAGAAGCCAGGTGGCTGGAAAAACATCAGTTGAAGTATTGAGACAAGAAAATATAATTGACTTACTATACATGGGCCTTAAAATGTCCCACCATCGTGTTCTCATCGGCACGACAGCGGGAAGCCCAAAACTAAAAGAACACGCAGTCAGCAAGGCCTTTGGTACACTGATAGCTCGAATTTACCTCTTCTGCACCAGGGGTCGTGTGTATGTAGCCAATTGACGCATCTTGATTCACAACCTTCCCGCACATAAGCAGCGCTGCTTCGAAGCCATGCTTTGCGGTGGCCAGATCCAGCTGGATGCTCCATTAGCGCATAAAAATTAAGTACACAATGTAAGACTTACCATGGATGTCACTTTCTTTGTCAACCTCGTGAATTCTTGTGACCGCTGTGCAACAGTCAGAGGCGGGCCTGAAGCGATCCGTGTCTCGTCAAATGTGTCGAGAATGTCTTGCCAATCCTCAGGATATGCGTCCTGGAAGGACCTATAACATTCGCCTTGGATGGTCGATGTGACTGCATCCCAACATGAGTCATAACCACTGAACTACAAAAACAGACTTACTGATAATATTCGCATCTTTGCCAGCTCGCTGTAGCTCGCGCAGGCGGTGGGCTTTGAAGTATTGCCCGTAGATGTTCCAGTGATTTGTTCCATTATTGACGCGGCCACGAGACTTGAGAAATAGATTCAAAACTTGCTGCGTTGGCATGCCAGTCGAGACTACAAGCTCATTGATGGCGCAATCAATGAGGTCGAACTGTTTTTCCATTGCAGCGTTGGCATCTTCTGACCTCCAACCAACGACAGCGGCACCTGAAGGCCCTCCCTGGGTGTCCATCGCGAAGTTTCCCGTCATGACAGGGTTGGCAGGAGGGGGAGGGATGACACCGGTGTCCATCGTGAGGTTTCCCATCATGACAGGGTTGACGGGAGTGGGAGGGATGACACGGGTGGCAGGAATATTGAGTCCAGTTGGGAATGGAACATGCGGAGGCGTATTATGTTCTGGTAGATGACTCTCGTGCGGTATGAAAAGGTTGTTTGGCTGCATGACGTCGAACGATCCTCCAGCTATAGAGTCCCAGGATGGGGCGGGGACATCGAGCGATGAGAAGTCGTAGGCATCTTGTTCACCGCTGCGGATGGGCAGATCTTGTTGGGTCTGTCCCGACATACTGCTCAGGGTTGGCTGAGGAAGTATCGCATCACAGGGTGCTGTGAACACTTCCTGCATGAAGTGAGGCTCGCGAGGAACCATAGGCGACTGCTCGCGTGACACACTGCATCTAGAAAATTCGAAAGAGCTGCCTGGAGGTACCCCTCCAGGCACTTCCAGCCGACCTTGGGAAGAAACACCAGAGAAGTGCTCTAAGTGAGAACTCGGCACACCATCTGATGCATGGCCATCAGAGCCATTGTCTGGAACCAGTTTCGCTCTATTGCGGGCGCTTTTTCGAATAAGACCACCGTCGCGTGAGGTGGGTCTTATGCGAGTGCGAAGTTTGGTGGGAGTCTGGATGGGGGGGGGTGATTTTTGACGCCCTCCTCCGATTTGCTCAGGGTGAGGTTCTAAAGCTGTGAAAGAGGGCGTTGAGGAGCGCGCCAAATTTTCTGGCAGATATTCTTCATTCATTTCTACATTAGAAACACAGTCAGACTGACTATGGCAGATTATGAACATGCAAACTTACTTGGGAGAGGAGCAAAAGACGTAAGATATATGATGGGTGATAGACTAACACAAGGCTAGTCCGCATTTAATATGAGTCAGTGATAGACTAACACAAGGCTAGTCCGCGTTTAAAATGAGTCAGTGATAAATGGTCCAGCCAAGATGCATTCACCTTCGTCTAAGCAAATACTAGCAAGTCTCGAGGGCAACGTTGATCCTACTGACGGCAATACGAGCGGGAGGAAAAAGGTGTGAAAAAAAAGTGCATGCGATGCTTTCGTGCCTTCCATATTTCTGGGAGAGTAGCAGCTCGCATTCCATAGGGATTCACTGACAGAAAATCACTAGGACAGAAGATCGACGGCGACTCACTGCGTACCTGTGTGACATAACACGAGTACACTCCTCCAGGAAGGCTCGAGAGGCTCGAGAGACCATGCAAATTGCTAAATGATGAGGGATCCTCCAAGGAGGCGCTGGAGCACCTGATGGCGCAGGAGGTTTGACACGAGGTTGCCGCAAATATGAATGCAGGCTGGTTTCATTGGGAAATACGTATGATAACTACTTTACTCGTCGAAGGCCCAGGGTTCCACCATCTTAATTCGTCCTTCATCGATGGCAATCCTGACTTTTTCCTCCCCAATTGCAATAGACTCAACCTCATGGTAAACAGCACCAGCGACACCCAGAACGCAGTTGAGTGCATTCTCCCTAGTGTAAAAATGATCAAATACGACAAGCGCCTGGAATGAATCTGTGCTCACCAGCCTGCCATTACACCAATGTGAGACCCCCGGGTGACATAGAACAAGCTTTGAGAGGGTTTGACTTGTACTGAAATATTATAACAGTTTAGCGAGAAGGATACACGTGTTGATTGACTCACCTGGAATGTTATAGAAAACATCCTTGTAGACGTGAAGGACAGAGTCGTCCGCCCTCGATCTCACAGCATTCTCGAATTCTGGATGGTTGTGATTGATGATGGTGAACTCTGGGCTTGCCGTGGAGAGTGCGCGATTGACGAAGACGACTGGAGGTGAAGATGAGGTGAAGACACGCTCGATGAAAAATGGTTCGGTCACCGACGACATAGTTTGCTGGGGAAAAAATTGTGAGAATGAGTGGAGTACGCTCAAAGGTTGAAAAGGCTCATCTGATGAGAAGTGGAAGATACCTACAATCACATTCAACTTGCCAAAAAGGGTGGCATATGCATAGTGCTTGCTGGACGTTTCTGAAAAACAATTTAGAAGTTGAAAAAAGCCCTGTGTTGACCAAAACGAGTGGAAAGGATTCTATGTGTTTACGTGGAGTAAAGCTCACGTGTGTTCTTGCGCGACCCTTAGTACAGTGCCAAATAAAGTTAACCAAGATGCTCACGTTTGACGATGAACTTCTCGGCGTGCTACACCCGATGAGCAATGTTAATGAAGGCTCAGGCAAGACGTCGCCGAGTGCGGAAGTAAGGCTTCCCTGTTCCAAACGTAGCCGAGTGCGGAAGTAAGGCTTCCTTGTTCCGAGTTGTTCCGATTGTTTTCCCTTCACAACAATAGGCTATGGGGAGGCTCGTGTGGGTCTGAAGAAAAAAGGAATATCAGTGGGGTCGAACCGGGGAGCAGGGCGTTGCAAAGACCACTGCGCAATAACCACTACACCATGAGTGCTTCCATTTATTGCACAATATATACATCCTATAGAGTATCATAATGTTAACTAATACGCACCTTCTGAAGTCCCGAGAGCTTCTGCAATCGACCACGATGTCTTATCGTGGCCTTCTGCGTCCTGCAATCGATGGCGATGGGTTTTATCTGCAATGGTCGCGATCTTTCTCTACCGCACCTATACATCTTGATCATGGATTTCACTGAACTCGACCGTTCCCTCCAACGCATTGCATCGCGGCACCATTTGCCAGTAGAGACGACGTTGAAAAGGTGGCTGGAGAGGTGGGGGGAAATGAATGATTCTAACGCATGGAAAGAGCTTGATGGTATACCATGTATTGTTGCTGGGCTAGCGGCATTGCTTGGTAAGTGCTGTGGTTGACATCTGTAATAGAATAATCAAGTCAAAATGTTTGCAGGAAAACTTGAAGCGCCAGGGGGATTCTTTCCATGGAAAAGGCTACCCGCTGAACTAGCCAAACGTGGCTACGTCCTCCAACACTACCCTGAAAATGTTCTGATGCCTGGGGAGAGACGCGCCACCCTTGCAAAGAGCAAGGGGATACACGACCTTACGCTTCGTGAGTGCCAAATCTTTGCCGATGCCCTCAAGAACAATTTACTCACTGTCAAAACCATCACTGGCAAAGACGCCCGTGCAAAGCTCGTGGCCTCCCGTAGGCCTGTCATCGTCGGGGAAGCGCCCGCACCTGATTCCAACAACAGACGTGGTCGGCGTTGGTTTGCTAACGGTCGTCTTGATAGGAGGGGTCTTCGTCGCCTCGAATTCACAGACACCTCTTCCGACACCTCCCCCGAGCCATCCCCTGCACCAGTGTCTGATGCGCCGCGTCCACGTCCTGGTCCTGCATCGCTGGCTCGTGTGTCTGATGTGCCTGCACCAGTGTCTGATGTGCCTGCATCAGTGTCTGATGCGCCGCGTCCTCGTAGGAGGGGTCTTCGTCGCCTCGTGTTGACAGACACCTCTTCCGACACCTCCCCCGAGCCATCCCCTGCACCAGTGTCTGATGCGCCTGCACCAGTGTCTGATGCGCCTGCACCAGTGTCTGATGCGCCTGCATCAGTGTCTGATGCGCCGCGTCCTCGTAGGAGGGGTCTTCGTCGCCTCGTGTCCACAGACACCTCTTCCGACACCTCCCCCGAGCCATCCCCTGCACCAGTGTCTGATGCGCCTCGTCCTCGTCCTCGTCCTGCATCCGTGCGTCCTCGTCCTGGTCCTGCATCCATTTGTCCTCGTCCTGGTCCTGCATCCATTCGTCCTCGTCCTGGTCCTGCATCCATGCGTCCTCGTGTGTCTCCTACACCACATCCTCGTCCTGCTCGTCCAGCACTGCTCCCACCTTTACCGGTAGTTAAACCCAACATCGATGAACTCATCCCGGATATATCCTACCTTGGGCAGGCTTCACAATATTCTGATGGTGCCACGCACGAGGACGAAGTGGAGGTCGATGAGTTGTTTGGGACCCAGGGAAGTAAAGTTGTGCGTGCTGTATAATAGTGTCATTGGGCATCGTTGTAGTACTAAAGGTTCTATATACTGGTGAAGGGGGGAGAATGTATCGAGACGAAATGCGTGAATATAAGCCTTAGATACGGATCCTCTTCTGGTACATCAGCTCACCCATTGAGTGAGCAACCGTCAACTCAGTGAGTCCTTCAATGTCCAAAAAATACTGGATATCATCTATATAAGCGAGTGTAGTGCTTAAGAACCGGGAGACTGATTCAGTAGCGCGAGACTCGGTCGAGACTCCACAGAAAATTATGATTTGATCCTGCACTCGAGTTGCACGGCGGAGTAAGCGTTCGACCTCTGTTTTCGCATTTTGAATGATTGAGGTGTCGCCCTTGCCATGCACTTCATCTGGCAAGCTTTTGACGTACTGAAGGAGGAGACTCTCTGTAAATGCGCAGGGTTCTCCAATTAGCACCAACATCTCGTCCTTGATGCTTTTGAAAGCGAGCAGGCACGATGGGAGATCTATTGATCTGTAGATATTTAATTTATGTTTCGCTATTAAAAAAAATGACATACAGTGCGTCATTCTCGTCATCACTCGTCTCTGGCTCAGATAGATCTTCATCGTAGCCTAAGGCTACAGCGAGTGCTCTTTGAATCTCCTGTACCTCCTGCGATGGCTTTGTGAGGCGAAGCCCTCGTCGCCTACTCAATATACCGTCTCTGTGTCTTTGTATGTCAGTTGACCTGCCGTCTGTGAAAGACAATAAATAAAACTCAAACTTACTTTGCGTAATGATGTTGGCATCTCTCTTGACTCGCTTCAAAATTTTTTTGTTCTGTTTTATGAACGGGGGGATGCAGCATGATGATCATGCAGACTGGGAAAATAGACGAGTGAGCAAGGATATGTGAGAGACCGGCAGAGGGATGTATACCAGTGGATGGTCCATCGTGGATCCACAAATAGAAGTTTCGGATCCTCCAACTCAGGTGGGAGGCGCTAGAGGAGCTGGCTGGTGCATCACGACAAGGGTCGGATGGTGGACAGTAGTTGGATAGAGGGAGGGTGAATGTGTAGGGACAGGAACGGCCAGATATCGTCAATTGCTCCTACTAGTAGTAGACACAGTCAAGAAAATAAATGGACTAACTCACCTGTGATGTTTTCGATTTCTTACAAGAGCGCCGATGGATCTTGATGGATCTTGATGGATCCCCTAGGTACATAAGTCAAATTCGAACCTTGACGAAATGGGGAGTTCAGCACATGCGGCTTGATTAGCCAATAGGCATTCAGATACAGTTCAAGACCAACGAAAAACATATCCCAACCACGCTCGTCTTTGCGTAGACTTTGCGGATAGTGGTTTTTGAATTCTTCGTTTTTTGCCGGTTTGATTGGTACCAAAATTTCCCAATGTTTGAGTGAAGAAGGTCCGTCCGTAGAATAAGTAGCTAATTGCATGCATGTGTTCATTGAACTTCATTCAGCCTTTGCATCTCTCTACTGTCATTATGGGTCAAAAAGCCAAATATCTAACGTTGGCAGAAAAAACAGCTGCATTGCGCAGACAAAAGGCGAACTATGCACAGTCTGAGAGGTATGTTTACACCACACTGCACATGGCATTCTTAACCTCCACATTGTCATTGGCAGGGGGAAAGCTACTCGTCGACTTCGACGTTCTCAAAACTATGCCAAAGCACACAGTCGCAAAGGCTCGTCAAAGCCACCCCTAGCATCATCCCGGCTTCCACCCCTGCCTCGAGTTCTCATCAATCTAGCAAACGCCTCCCTTCCAGATGGTGATCTATTTCGTTGCGCTTCCCAAAGTGCTGACAACCTCGATGAATCGGAGCTCCCACAATGGGACAATAATCCCCCCTACGCTATGCCTCCTCCATCCGACACTCCAGCAGAGGTTCGATTCACAGAAAACCTTGTGCAGGTCATGCACGGCCGTAACTCACGCTTAGAGAAGGAGCAGCTACAACAACGTGCACGGAAGTACAATGCAGGAAGGCCAGATCTTTGTACAGAGTTGAAACATGCTATTGGCGTGCTGCTGGGAGAGTGGTACATATTGCAAGACTATATCTCTGACGCAAGGGACTGTGATAGACACATCAAGATGGCCCAATGTCTCTTGCGATGGCGTGCACGCAGGATTTATCTCTATCACACTGAGGTTGAGAAGATGTTAAACGGACTTGATCCATATATTTAGTTACACATTAATACGACAAGTGTATGAAGGTAGTGACGAAACGCAGACATATGGTCTTCTTTCAAACCCGTACAGTGGCATCCATGCAAAGTTGCCGCGATCATTGCAAGCACCCATATGCCACAGTCATAGCCATTAGTCTGAACCGCGGTCTTCTGATAGAAAATTAGGATAAGTGTACGTTTAATGTATAACATACTTACTATCAGCGGTCGCGCAACCCAACCATAGAAGTCAACGTCGACTTTGAACACACGTTGATGTTGCCGAGCGATGTTGAAAAGCCGAACAATCAATTTCATGACGTCCTAGATGCATTAAGTCTAATGAAAGAGGTACTATGTCAGTACTCACTTTGACCTCACTCTTCCAAGGTCGTTGCTCAGCGAAGCTATCAAAGAGATGAAGCTCCTTGCTCTGGAGGTGCACAATACACAAGACCCAATGACCGACACCCGAGGGCCTATGAATTGGTATGATCCATACATCCTTGGCCCAATATTTAGTCCGTGATATGTTGCGCCAAAGCATGTCGTCTGATGCATTGTATTGAATGCGGGGGAGGTCGTGTGTGGACAAAATCGCGTATTGTTGGACAGCGGGAGAAGCCTGTAAAGAGTCTAAATAAAGCAACACTGCACAACCGTTGATGAGGCTATCGTTCAGTAGCGCAGTAGGCGATGCGAGGATCTTGATGTCCTTTGGTTCGAAAATTTGCTGTGGGAATGCATCGCGGGCGGGACATACCAAAGTTCTGAGGATTCCAGGGATAATAACGGTAGTCTCATTCATCGGTGGTACTGCGTCAATGATGACTCGCTAGATAAACTATGAATGCATGGACGCCTGGTAAGGAAAGATGACTTACCTGAGGAGTGTGCCAGGTGATGAGAGCACGAGGGTCAGCTGGGATATCGATGTCCTCTTCATCTTCACTGTCAAGAGTGTCAACGTTTATGATGTCATCGAGGGCAAGGTGTTCAGGTGGAGGATCATCGAAAAACGTAGCGGTAACCTCCGGATCCTCTGCGCCCTCTTCCTCCTCCACAGAAGTGGTGCATGATATCAATGGAACCCAGTGAAGTGCACATTCTTGGGAGGCACCTGAGATCCGCATCGCCAATGATTCAGCGTGTCTTGCGCGAGATTCAAATCATAATGGTGACGCAAGTGGGTTGGACCAGCGAATTTGAAGATGTCAGAGATGCTCCCGCCGCTGACGCAGTAAGATGGAAAATCTGATATCTGTGAAGGAATTAGTGCATTGATCGAAGGTGACATAAAGGAAGGTACACACTTTCAGGCAACTGTAGAGCGAGTTCTATTGCAGCGAGTTCATCGCCAAACCACCTGCAAAGGTTGTCAGCTTCTAGCCCAAGCCGTCTCTGCTCCTCGATGCATCTATCACGCTTTAACATAGCGCGTATCCCATCACGGACATCCTGATCATCCAGCCAACGAGGAACGTCGCCCACTGAAGGTGTAATCCAAATGTCCTCCATCAATGTTTGATCATTACGGAGTTCATTCAGCTTGGTAGGGAGAGGCGTCAGAAGAGGGACACTGCAATCTGGTTCGTATAGTTCTTCAAGGCGTTCGCAGTATCCATTGAATTTGCGTAGTGCGGCCAGTAAGGCTGGTTGTCGCTTTGATATGGCCTTTCGGGTCTGCTGGTGAAGTTTGGTCCCTGCAAAGTGTGAACACACGTCACCGAGCGAGTCTATCCACCTACCTAATGCTTGTTGTGTGCCGCCGACAGCACGATCGAGTTTGTCCCACTCGAAGAAGCTCCCAATTGCGCGCTTCCAGATGTTGATCTTCAGGTCCCGTGCTAAGAGAAGTGTGCGAACGAATTCGACGTTGATTCCTTCTAGCTCAGGGAACCTGTCGTGAACATTGAGGGAAGCATATAACACATCCACCTTGTCCATGAGGCGCTGGTGACTTCGTTCGAGGCTCTCGATCGCGTCACACGTGCATTGGGACGCATTTCCCTTCGATATCACCTCGCTCGTGGCTTGAAGTGCCTTCTCTGAGGCATCAAGGTCACCTTGGAGGGCAAACACAGTGTCCAGCTCTTTCTTGAGCCGAGCAGGGGCATCTATAGAATAGAGTTAGAGATGGTCAGGCTGACGAAGTAAATTGAATGGACGAGCACGGATAGACAACTGTGACTGTCGTTGCAGAGCCCATTGATGTCGCAGATCTTCAATTGTCGCATCGCACTCACTCAGCGTGGCCTGTGCAGCTGTCCCTTGCTCATCAATCCCTCGTTTAAGTCGACGCCGGATCCAGTCCCCAAGGTCAGCGCGCATCTCAAGACCGATAGCAGCAGCTTGTCGGTCAAGTAGCCATAACCGACGTTGTCTCTATAGTAACTCAAATATCAGTAGAAATGATACAAAAATTGAGGGCACTTACTGACGAAGAGCGCTGGATACCTATCAAGCGGATAAACCTCGACCATAGTCTCTCAGTGCCTTCTCCATCTGAAAGGCCAAGACCTTCGCATATTCGTGGGTTATAAATAAGTTGGCACGACCATTCATGCCCATAGGCATGCATTGCGGTGGTTGCGAATCGCAAGCGCTTTGTTACAGTTTCAGCAAGTATGTCGTACTTGAAGGGATCAGCAATGAGGTTCGAAGAATTACAGAAATGACTCACCTGACTTAAAGATCGTGCAAGAACACATCCCACATCATACAGAGTAACAACTGTTGCGCCTCCAGGTATTAAAGCAAAGAGGTGATCGATTAGGGCGACAGCATATTTTTGCTGCTCACCTGGGGTGTCAATGTTTGCAAAGAAGAGGGGAATGTCGTGTCGACATATCAATGCCATGACTCCCGTGTCGTCGAAGCTGTCCATGGCTGCTTTCTGCTTCTTCCCATCGGCGGCCTCGTACGAATTCTCGCACAGGTCGATAGCCTCATGAGGTACAAGTGGTGCATGCGGCTTTGGAGCAGACTTGCGAGTGCGATCAATGTGTCGACCAATGGCGTCGACCTGAGCTTTCGGTAAGAAGTAGGAGGGATCATAGAAGTGAGGTGAATCGCCTGCTGAACGCCGATGTCGATGATGGAAGTTGCCATCAGTAGCGACATGAATATCACCGCCTTCTTCCAGCTTCCTGCCAAAGACGACTCCTCCAAAACAGGCAGGGCAACGCTGAAGAAGGATCGCGGCACAGCGCTCACGTGGAATCACGTCTACAGTGGGAATAAATGGTGCGGGATGCTCTGGAGGTTCTCGAGAGGCCTCTACGAGGTCTCGGCTTGCTTGAACAGTGCGTTCAAACTGGGATTCAAGCTCCACCTGTAAGACGTCAAACCAAAGAATGGCTTGACCAAGACTTCGCCGGAAAGGCTCTTGAATGAATTCGCCCTAAGTTTTGTAAGAATCGAAGGAACTCAACATAGATTCACTTACTTTGCCATTGGTCATACGAAAACCTCTACGGACGTAATGCGTGTGAAGGGCAGATGCGAGTGCGTTTACAGCATCACAGGAGCGCTCGAAAAGCGCGCGATAGAACGCGAGCAAGTCCGTAGACACTGCCATACGCGGCTGGGAGGGTGAAGTGGGGAACAAACCGTGCAGAATCAGGACTTGAGCTGCAGTAGCGCATCTGCAGCTCAAGACGTCGAGGGAGGTGAAACCTTGGAAATCATTGATGAATTGAAGCATTCAATAGCTAGGGACTTACTATCGAAGAATAGTCCAATCAAGGTCGTGCGCCTTTGTGCACATTTCTGGGAGCGACATGCAGACAAGACTGTTGAAGGTCGCTCGAGAATCTTGCCGACGGTCCTCTGAGTATACCCGAGTTGAACATCAACGAGTGTGGGTATCAGTGTTTTCCAGGTATCGTATAAGCGTGCGGCGGCGACATCAGGTAGAATTCGATGACTTTTAATACATTCAGAGGTGTTCAGTGGCGGAACAGATTCGTCAGGTTGAATAAGTGGAAAAACTTCGTTTTCGATGAAGGAATCCTCGTAAGCATCGGCGGGAGTGTTCTCGATATCAGGTGAGGTGGAAGTAGTGGTTGGTTCAGAACTTGAAGTTGGTTTTCCTGCGAGGAGGGCTGCTAACTTGGCTTGTAGTTTATCTTGCTTTGCTTTCTGCCCGGGCAGCTCGACTAACGTCTGGGTCTTGAGTTTGTTTCTGGGTTTCCGTGGACTGACGAATTGGGCGCCCAATCCAGATGTTGTGAGCTGGGCAGCACGTGTATTTGAGGGCTGGGGAGCCATAAAAGTGAAGGTAGAACGCGAGTTGGATATTTTTATTTCTAAATTAAGGTAATAATACAGGACATTTTCATGTAAGTATGAGGGCAACGAGGTGGCATCCTAGGTGCATGTGAGGCACGCGAGCAACCCAGTGGGAGGGCAACGAGGCGGTGGGGGAGGGCAACGAGTCATGATTTTATTTTTAGAACAGCCCTAAAATTAGATTGGCGAATCCTGGGCCTCTCAGGCCAGTTTCCCATAACATAGAAACCCGGCCTAAGAGGCTACCTTTTACCTCCGAAAACTACTGCCTGAGGTGCTAGCTATCGCATGATATGGACGCGATATATACCTCTCCAGGCTCTCCCTTAAACTCGTGCATCTCCTTATTTTAGGCTTATGTTGGACTATCTACGACGCCTTAATATATTCTTTTTGTGCTGCTTACTCGCCTTGAATGCCATTTGGCCTTATTTTAAGGGGATAGACCTACTTAATGGCCTTATTTCAAGCAACGGAAAAGTTTGTTCAAAGTCGTAAATAAGCTAAATAAGGCACTTTAAGAGTGATTTAAGCATAGGGACGTTTTCCTGATGTTGACCTCCGCTAGGACATCAGGAAAATGGAAATCCATAGAAATCAAGTTAACTAATTAACAACTGCACTGTTGCAAATTCTGCAAATATCATAATCTTCGCAAAGGCTTTTTCTATCCATTGACATTACAGATTGTGTCCTCGTTTCCTCGTTGATTTGTTAACCTTT